CTTGGATTATTTTTCTCCACGGGGAAAAAGCTGATCCTTTTCACTTGGTTTTCTGGCTTCTCTCACTTTACTTCAATCTGATTGATGTTTTCTTTTTTTTTTTTTTTTTTTTTTTTTTTGGTGCATTTGATTTGCTTTTTTGGGACTTGCCTGTGCTCAAAGCCCAGTGCCTCATGGCAGAAACAAGCAGGACTGGGCTTTGTCTCTTGGGCCCAGTAGTGTAAGAACTGAGTTTCCTTTCCTCAGCATTTAAGACCATGGTAGCTATGGATATAGTAGGACCTAGGAGGCCCCCACTCTCTCATCTCTGGGACTTGATACTTCCTCATTAGTTTAAGATACATTTGCATGAGTTGCTAGACTATTCATCTTACATATTACCTATTATGTATCCTCAGGATGAGTTCAGAACCAGAATCTTCTTTTAAAAATTTGACTATTGAGTTAAGGAGGCGGGAGAAGTTTTTATTTTCTTGGCTACTGTTTTGCTAGAGAATTAACATTGACAGTTCTAGTGCTGTGGTTCTCTCTGAAGCACACACAGAGGCCACTGGAGGCCTTCTGAGAACTCCTCTGCATGCCTGATGAGTTCCTGCTGGCGGCCCAGGGACCACACTTTGAGAACCACTGTTCTAGTATAAACCAGACATTTAAAATTCCACTTTTAATCTGTAACTGTAACTGAGGCGCCAGAGGTCTTTACAAACGTTGGCAAGAATTTTATTTAGATAATTATTCTGTTTAGGGCCAAGAATAGTAAAAGAAAAAAAAAAATTAAACTCCATAAATTAATAAAAGAAACATACATTATTCTATAGGAGGAAATCTAAAGAAAACAGAGCTTCAGATAACTTAGAATGCAATGTTTTCTTCTCCCCTTCCTTTTCCCCCTTTATTTCTTGTTTTAGGGGAAAATCGTTGCCCAGGGGAAACTGCTCTTGCAGGACACATTCTTGGTCACAGACCAAGATGCAGGACTTCTGCCTCGCTGCAGAGAGAGGCGCATCTTCCTCTTTGAGCAGATCGTCATATTCAGTGAGCCGCTTGATAAAAAGAAGGGCTTCTCCATGCCGGGGTTCCTGTTTAAGAACAGTATCAAGGTAATGTGTGTCTGTGTGTGTTTTCTCTGTGCCGGCGCGTGTACCCATCACACCGATAAACACTGTTTCCTTTTAATGATGACACACCCTGATGCTTGGTTTAAGTATTTGAGAATTTTCTAGTATATTTCAGAGCCTTTGAATTCACCCATTTCTCTCTTTACTGTCTGTGTTCTTGAGTGGCTAATGTCTTGTGCACACCTCTATGTGACCACAGCCATTCCTTCTTAGATGAGAACTGGTCATGGGTAGTGTTTATGCACCACCTTCTCTAGGACCATGGAAAACTGGTTTAAATTTGATAGCATGGATTTGGGGGATTGTTCTGTGATCAGAGAAGAAGCTAACTTGGTGTCTTCTTCTCTTCCCCCACTCACCAAGGAGGTACTGAGCACTCAGCAGCCGGCGTGAGGGGTCCAGGAATGGCCCAGTTGGATGCCCTCCCTACCCTGGTGTAGCTTATCCTCTAATAGGAAAGGAAGACAGAGGGACAAAGAAAATAATTGCAAATGGCCCTCAACTCTATAAAAGGGACAAACCAAGGGTGAGGTAGAGAAGAGCAGAGGGCAGGCCTGAGGTCCCAGCAGATGACTCCTGGGAGATACACGCCCCCGCCAGGGTCCTCCTGGCTCTGCAGCTGTGCAGAGCCTGAGGTCAGAAGGGAGATGCACTTCCTTTTGGTAGGGCCTCCTGCCCTACGCCATCAGGGAAGGGGAACTCTCAGACCGTGCACATTTGCAGGCCTCACAGCACACAGGCAGAACATTGCATCCTCCCCCATCCGGCTCCCTGCTCAGGCTTTTGTTGGCTGTCCCCAGCAGCCTTCACTTGCCTAAACCTGGGGTGGGTCTGTCCACGGGCACAGATGCCAGGCTGGGGGGTCTCTGCCCACCAGCACCTAGGAAGGCTCTGGAGCCAGACAGCTGGGGAAGGAGGCTGCCTCTGCATGAGGCTGGGCTGTGGGCCCTCGCACCTCCCACCACCCACCTGCCCCTCCAGACTCCGCCTTTTGAGGCCCCTTATCCTGAGGCCATGTCAGGCACAGACCTTCTGGGCTCACCACTACACCTGAGCCTCCACCCATCCCCTGAACTGTGTGCCCATCCCGTGAGCTGCACCCATACTCTGAACTGCACCCATCCCCTGGACAGCAGCCATCATCCAAACTGTGCACCCATCCCCTCAACTGTGCACCCATACACTGAACTGCACCCATACGCTGAGCTGCACCCATCCCCTGGACTGCAGCCATCATCTGAACTACACCCAACGCCTGCACTGCACCCATCCATCCCCTGCACTGCACCCATCCCCTGAGAACTGCCTACCCATTCGTCTCACAAGTCTTTTGTCAGAAAATCACTCCAGCACTGTAGGAATTTTGTATATATTTTTTACATATTGTTTTTATAAAATTATCTGACATATTTTAATCATGATATCATATATACTTTTATAACATAGGTTATAAAATTGGTTATCAAATATTGGTATTTGAGATTTGTTTAATGGTGTCATTTACACCCTGGGAAGTAAGGGATAAATACTGAGGCATCATAGAGGGGTTTGGGAAACAGGTAATCCCAGACCCATATTTCTAGTTAATTGTTCAGGCTGTTAGTTCAAACTATTAGTTAGTTTAACAGCCTTGTAATCCCCATGTACCTGAGTCAAGAGGCATTGAAAAGCTTCAAGTGTTTTCTGAGGCAGTAAAAATGGCAGTTCAACGGAAAAGTGCTTGTTTCAGGATTGAGGTAGGATGAACTTCGCTTTGCACTTGGCCAGTGGGGATCAATGTGCTTTAATTTTTTATTGTGGTAAAATACACATAACATAAATGTGCTGTCTTTAATTGCCTAGCGGTGTGGGATTAAGAGCATTCATGTTGTGTAACCATCACCATCATGTCTTCACAACTCTTCATCTTGCAGAGCTAAAGCCCTGTACCCATTAAACACTAACTCCCCACTTCCCCATCCCCAAGCCCCTGGCAACCTCCACTCTATCTATCCCCACATTTGACTACTCTAAGGACCTCCTGTAAGTGGAATCATAACAATAGTTGTATTTTGGAACTGGCATATTTGACTTAGCGTAACGTCTCCAAGGTTCATCCATGTCATAGTGTATGTCAGAATTTCTTTACTCATTAAGGCTGAAAACCTGTCCACATAGCCCACATTTTCTTGGTCCATTCATCAGTCAGTGGACACATGGCTTGCTTCCTTTCCACCTGTTAGCTATTATGAATAATGCTTGCTTTTTTTTTTTTTTTTTTTTAAGGTGAGTTGCCTTTGCCTGGAGGAAAATGTGGAAAATGATCCCTGTAAATTTGCTCTGACATCAAGGACGGGTGACGTGGTAGAGACCTTCATTTTGCATTCATCTAGTCCAAGTGTCCGGCAAACTTGGATCCATGAAATCAACCAAATTTTAGAAAACCAGCGCAATTTTTTAAATGGTAATATGTGTTCTGTTACTAGATGTGTGCTTTCTTTCCTAATGTACTCACTTGTATTTATCTTCCCTCTCCCGTTCATATCCATAGTAATGACAGAACTTAGCACTCACCACTCTTCAGGCACTGCCTCGATACTGCTTTACTTCATCTTCACAACCACCCTGTGTGGCCAGTACTATTATTATCCCTGCTTTACAGATGAGAAAGCTGGGGCACCGAGTGGCTGAGTAATTTGCCTCGGGTCCCACAAGTTGTTAAGGGCAGAGTCAGGACGCAGAGTGGCCATCTGGCTCTTGGTCTGTGCCCCTCGCAGCTACACTGTCCCACACATAACATGTTATGAGGGCCCTGTCCTAGGAAGAGGAGTTTGCAAGAAGAACACCAGGAAGATGGCATTGGCCAGAGACATTCACGAGGGCCTTGCCACACCCACACCTCCATTCCCCATAAAAAAATAAGAGATGGGGGCCGGGCGCGGTGGCTCAAGCCTATAATCCCAGCACTTTGGGAGGTGGAGGTAGGCAGATCACCTGAGGTCAGGAGTTTGAGATCAGCCTGACGAACATGGAGAAACCCTGTCTCCACTAAAAATACAAAAAAATTAGCCGGGCTTGGTGGTGCATGCCTGTAATCCCAGCTACTCAGGAGGCTGAGGCAGGAGAATCACTTGAACCCAGGAGGTGGAGATTGCAGTGAGCTGAGATCACGCCATTGCACTACAGCCTGGGCAACAAGAGTGAAACTCTGTCTCAAAAAAAAAAACTGACAGTTCGGTCCTGCCCTGCTTCCATGACTTGAGGGATTGCAGAGATGCTGCAGAACACAGCAGGCATGGCCACCCTATCCTTTCATTGCCTCAATGTATTTGATCTCTTTGCAACTGCTGGCTTCAACACTAGCTTTTAATTTGGTGATCGGCGAAGAACTTTGA